ACACACACACACACACACAGACACACACACACACATACACACACACAATGAACAATTACCACAGAGACAGCTGAGGCTTCCAATCACAAAGTCCCTCCCTGAAATTCAGAAGGATCGAAGCAGCCACCACAACTGCTGGACATATGGCTGTCCTCCAGTGCCAGATGAATGAGTGACAGTGTGTGCTGGGGGAGGAGTGCTGTCCCGCGGCCTGTGTGATTGCAGTGCTCACTCATAATCTGGGACGTCTCTCTCTCTCTCGAGTCATTGTACGTGTAGTGGGCGACCAGAGCCTTGTTTTTAGGTCAGAAGAGGATGTGTGTGTAGTTGCAGAGAGTTCTTACTGTATGCAACCCACAGGCTTTAGCACACAGCTCAGGTTTACACTATAGAGTGGTATTTGTACAATTGGTGCTGCTATTCGCAAAAACACTTTTACCTGTGTTGAGTGAAGAGAGTTGTGTGGAGTGAAGACGGTGTGGTACTAGTTGGATGGGGATGCTTTTGAACCTTTTTTTTTTTTTTTTACAAGTGTAGTTACGGAGAGCTCTTACTGTATGCAACCCACAGGCTTTAGCACACAGCTCAGGTTTACACGAGAGTGGTATTTGTTCAATTGGTGCTGCTGTTCACAAACACACTTTTACTTCTGTTGAGTGAAGAGAGTTGTGCGGAGTGAAGACGGTGTGGTACTAGTTGGATGAAGATGCTTTTGAACCTTTTTTCTGTCAGGACCACTATCGTCAAAGATGATTGACAATTAGCATACAGTTTGGATTGGCGGTATGGTTCTAACGTGACCTGCCATAACTAACGCTACGCTTGATTTACAACCATTGACAAGTGTCAATGTTTTTAATGCAATGAAAGCAAAGAAATCATATTATTTATTTATTTATTTGTCATATACATAATATAAATGGGGTTGAGTCAGTAAGATTTTATGTTTTTGAAAAAAGTCTCTTAGGCTCATCAATGCTGCATTATTTTGATAAAAATGCAGTAAAAACAGCAATATAATGAAATAACATTAATTTAATATTATTAATTTAAAATAAATGTTTTCTAAATTAGCTGAAATTTCAGCAGCCATTACTCCAGTCTTCAGTGTCACGTTTTTTTTCCATAAATGAT